AGTTGGAGGTTGCTGTGAGCTAGGCTGACGCCACAGCACTCCAGCCTGGGCAACAGAGCAAGACTTTGTCTCAAAAAAAAAAAAAAAGAAGCACTTAGACTATATAATCTAATTTACTTCACAATCTTATGATATAGATGTTACTGCCAGTTTACAGATTAGGTAATTGAGGCTTAGAGAGTTAAAGTATCTTGCCTAAAGTCACTCAGCTAATAAGTGCTTAAAATAGAAATCAAACATAGGTCAGTCTGATTCCTAAGTCTCTGCTTTTAACCATTATGATATACTGCCTCTAAGGCACTCCTTGTGAAGCATGCTCACAGGGGTGCTTTTTCTTCTGCAGTTTAATTCAGCTAATGCCATATTTCCAAAGAATCATCGTTGAATGGTTTTTGCTGAGCTTCTAAGGTCCTTATGGGAGGCCCTGGAAGCTGCCAGAATAAGGCAATATTTTCAAACATGGTTTTTACTTTTTTTTTTTTACTTTAAGTTTTTTTATTGGATTTTTACTGTTTAAAAAAATAAGAATTTATTCATCTTTCTTAAAATATGTGTGCTTTTTGTAATGAAAATTAAAATACAATTTTACCCCATAAATATGTACAGTTATTATGTGTCAATTAAAAATTTCAAAAATACAGTTTGACATATATCCTTCCAGACATGCAAAGTTTAAAAATATTTGAGCTTTCTAAAGATTCTGTTAGAAGGGCTAGCATGGTGGCTCATACCTGTAATCCTAGCATTTTGGGAGGCCGAGGCAGGAGGATTGCTTGAGGCCAGGAGTTTGAGACCAGCCTGAGCAAGAGTGAAACCCTGTCTCTACAAAATATAGAAAAATTAGCCATACATGGTGGCATGGGCCTGTAATCCCAGCTACTTACGAGACTGAGGCAGGAGCATCCCTTGAGCCCCGGAGTTTCAGGTTGCAGTGAGCTATGATGATGCCACTCCACTCTAGCCCAGGCAACAAAAGACATTGAAGGTGGAATTGATATGGGTATGAGTGAGAAGTATGATGCAATGCTTAAGGGTATAACCAAAGTCAAGCAGCCTTTGTTTGAATCTTGGGTTCTACTTTCTAGCCATGAGACTGTGGTAGGATAGTTTCTTCTCCATACCTTGATTTCCTTATATGTAAAATGGAGATAATAATGGTACCTATCTCAGAGAATTTTTGTAAGGATTAAATGAGATAATCTGTGTGAAGTTAGAGTAATGCCTGGTACACTGTAAGTGTTCAATAAATTTTAAGGAATACACAGGAGATATAGAGAGGCAGGTTGTTTTAATGAGAAAAGCTGGATTTGAATCCTGGTTCTACCACTTACTGGCTATGTGAGTTTGGGCAAGTGCTTAATTTGATCCTCACTATCTTTATCTGGATTGTTGTAAAGGATTAGAGATAACATATGTAAAGACACAAAATAAGCACTCAGCAGTGGTGCATACTGGTAACCGCAGCTACTTGGGAGGCTGAGGCAGGAGGATCCATTGGGCCCAAGAGTTTATGGCCAGCCTGGAAAATTTAGCAAGGAGACCCCATCTCTAAAAAAAAAAAGAAAAGCACTCAATAAAAAAATTGCTGTTATCCTTTATTGCAGACATATATATAAGTAATATGTGAGAGTGCTGTTGGGTTGAGTCAAAGATACAGGATAAAATGATATAGAGAAGAATTGCTGAATTAGTTATTCTCTAAAAAGTCTGAAATTTGGCACGGGAGAACTACCAAGAGAACCAGAAGATTGGATTTTTTAAAATTTATTTTTATTTTTTAAAAATGAGATGGAGTCTCTCTATATTGCTCAGGCTATAGTGCAGAGGCTATTCACAGACCCGATCTCACTACTGATCAGCACAGGAGTTTTTTTTTTTTTTTTGAGACAGAGTCTCACTCTTTTGCCTGGGCTAGAGTGCCGTGGTGTCATCCTAGCTCACAGCAACCTCAAACTCCTGGGCTCAAGCGATCCTCCTGCCTCAGCCTCCCGAGTAGCTGGGACTACAGGCATGCG